ATAGCGTATCCCACCCTGGCAGGGGTTTGGGGTTGGACTTACATGAATTCCCATCCATGAACTGCGTGGTCAGGATCGGGAAGGGGAAGATGAAAATGTTAGAGAAAGGAGAAGTGGCTAGGTGAATGAAAGACATGCAGTCATGTGGTTTGGAGCTTTAGAAAAAGGGAGTGTGTTTGAGGTGAGAAGCTGGGTTAAAATCTGGGCTCAAGGAGGTGGTAACTGTGGGAGTTTCCACGAAAAGCACATAGAGCTGAAGAAGGTGAGGGAAAGAAAGTAAGTGTTAAAGGTGTGATGAAGACATGAGTCCCTGAACATTACGGGAAGAACAGAAGGTGAGCGGGGCACGTCCGGTGATTTCAGAAGCATCAGAGGCACTGCCTGGAGCAGCCACCCAGGCGTGGTGACCAGCCCACCACGGCGGGATCATGTTGTTTAGGCACAACACAGCTGGATGAGGGCTTGGCCCTGCATCAGAACCCCTGCTCCACACTACCTGTGTTCCGTTTAGAGGCTGAAGGGCTGGGTGAGCTCTGGAAGGGCCAAGGAGAGGGGCTGTTCTCACAGCCTCTTTGAAGGACTGAAGGGAGGAATGAGGGAAGGTCTTGCGATCCAAAGGCTCAGTGGGGTATTCCTTTGTAAATGTGTAGAGGGGAAGACAAAGCCAGGAACCCAGAGGCAGACGTATCCTATAATGCTGTTTGGTGGTGGCAGTTGGGATGTGGGAGACCAAGTGGTCATGGTCTGGAGGTGGGGCGTGGGGATGTCTGTAGAGAGTGACGCCCAGATAGGTGATGGACAGGGAAGAGACCTGGGCCTTAGAGGGAGATACATGATGTCCCTTGGAATGTAGATGTTATAATAATAAAAGGTGTCTTTACAAGAAAACTCGTGAGAGGGGCCGCAAAGGAGGTCATCTACATAGTGTATGAGATGAGAGGAGGAGGAGTGAGAAGAGAGCAAACCTCGGGTGAGGGCCTGACTGAAGTAGAAGGGGCTGTCTGGGAAAAACTGTGGTAGGACAAGTCTAGGTCAGCTGTTGGGACTGACAAGTGTCAGCAGTTTCCTTTGCTATGGACAGGACGCCACGGGTGAAAGTGTGTGAGAGGGAAAGCTGCTCACTTCAGAAGACAGGAAGCAGAGTGAGAGGGCCAGACAGGAAAGGGCTCCCCAAGGCCATGCCCAGGGAGCACTCCCTCCTGTGGCCGTGGCCTCCAGGTAACACCGTCAAACTGAATCACCAGGCTGACCCAACGTAAGCCAGTGTCAGAGCTCTTTTACCCACTCATCCCCCAGAAGCCCCACCTCTGAACACAGGAGTCTTGGGGGACATGTTCCATCTAAACCACAGGAAGCCTGAAGTCAGAAATATCGGTACACAGTAACAATTTAGCTCAGGATGGATCCCAGGCACCATTTTCAACTAAGAAACAGCATTTGCAACTCATGATGCTATTGGGAGATGTTGGAAATTTTGCAGATGGGGCCTCATGGGCAGTCTTGTAGCTGACGGTGTGCCCTGGAGAAGGGACACTAATCTTTCTTCTTACTCCTTTTGCCTCCTGGCTATGAGGTGAAGAGTTTAGTCACCCGTGCTCCTTGCCATGTGTTGCCTCCCTTCACAGGCTCAGAGTGACAGGGTCATTGACTGCAACCTTCAACAGTATGAACCCAGGTAACCCTCATCTCTTTGCAATTTTGCTTTTGAGACAGAACCTCACTTTGTAACTCACGCTGGCCTTGAACTCACAGCCATCCCCTTGCCTTAGCCTCTCAAGTTCTGGGATTACAGGTGGTAATCACCTCGCCTGGTCTCTTTGTAAATTTTTTAAAACTGATTTTCTTTAGGTATCTTGACATAGTTGTGGAAAGCTGACTAACATAGCATTATTGTATTAGTCATCTATTGCTGAGCAACAAATTACTCTAAAACATAGTGGCTTAAAACAACACACATCTTGTAGTTTGAGTCGGGAATCTAGGCAGGCTTAACTGAATCCTCAGTTTTATAAGCATCACCAGATGGGGTTTCAGGAAGTCCTCCCAAAGAGTGGGGGAATCTCAACTTGCCCCAGCATAGTATTGTTTTGTTGAGACAGGGTCTCACTATGTTGTTGAGACTGACCTGGAACTCACTATGTAGCCCAGGCTGGTCTCGAACTCACAGCGATCCTCCTACCTCAGCCTCCTGAGGGCTGGGATTACAGGTGTGCACCACCACGTCTGGTTTAGTTTCTTAGTTAATCACAGAAAAGAACTGCAGAACTGGTCGGGGAGGACCAGGCAGATCAGACAGAGTCGAAATATACAGTCTGAAAGGAGTACAGCATTGCAGGGTCAGACCCTAGGTCTTGGGGTATCCTCATGATAGATGGTCTATGATGCTGTATTTTGAGTTATTATTTCCTATGCTTATCTCCTTAAGTTCAGGTTGCTCTTTAATAGAATAAGGCAAAAGCTTGCTTTTTATTAGCCAAAATGTAAACCATCTGTGTTTAAAGTTTGGAAATGCTGTACCCAATTAATAGTACTGTTTCATGGAGTTCCTGGAATTTATGGATTTAAGTCTTTGAAGAAAACATAAGCCAAATTGACAGGGTTATTGTATCCTTAAGGCTCTTAGGAATTTAGGAAGAAAAACAGGCCTAGGGTAAGAAAAGTATTGTCATCTTGGGTAACTTTTGAGTCTTGAAGCTGCAGTTTTCTTAAAGGTATAATTTTAGCTGGGCATGACAGCACCTAGAATCCTAGCACTACGGAAGGCTGAGGTGGGAGGATCACAATTTCGGGCCCAGCCAGGGCAACTTAATGAGACCCTGTCGCAAAATAAAAACTAAAGGGCCCAAGACTTAGCTCAGCAGTGCCTCGTAAGCTCAAGGTCCTGAGTTCAATCTCCGGTACTAAAAAAATAAACAAATAAATAAAAAATAAAGAGGACTGGGGATATAACATAGTGAGAATGCCCAGGTTCAACCCCAGTATCACACAAAAGTACAATTTTTAAAACTACAAGGGTAAGGGATTTAGCTCAGTGGTTCTGTTGTCTGCCTCGCAAGCACAAGGTCCTGAATTCAGGCCCCTGGTACCAAAAAAAAAAAAAAAAAAAAAACAACTAACCTACAAATGCCTCAATTTTCTACCCATCTTTATTTCTTCTATTCTCTATCCTCAAAAGTGTCAGCCAGAGCCACGATCATCTTAGGGTCAATGGGATCAGGATTTTCTTCCAAGCTCATGTCGTTCTCAGTGGCAGGGCACATTTTCTTAAGCATTATTTCTTGAGCAAAGATTCAGACCCATGCTGGCTGTTGGCCAGAGGCTGCCTTTGGTTCCTTCCCTTAGTTTCATCAGAGTAGCATACAAGAACTAGGGAAAGAAAAGCAGCAAGTTGGAAGGCAGTCTATGGAATGTAATCATGGAGCCAGGGATTTAGCTAAGTGGTGCCGATGCTTGCCTTGCAAGCTCAAGGTTCTGAATTCAATCCGGACACCAAAAAAAAAAAAAAAAAATGTAATCATGAACAGGCTTTCCCTTCATCTCTACCATGTCCTGTTCATCAGAAACAAGTCCCTGGGTCCATCCACACTCAAGGGAAAGAGTTACACTAGGGTCTGAATACCCGGTGAAGGACATCTTTTTCTTTGTCCCTCTACCCTTTTTCTATTATAACCACTAAATTAATTCGTTCTCTCTTGCTCCCTCCTGCACATACTTTCTCTTTCTTCCTTTCTTTTCTAAAGCTTGAACCCAAGGCTCACATCCATCCTGTTTTTGCACTAGTTCAGACTCATGGTTCAGACTCATTGTTTTGTTTGTTTTTTGGTACTGGGGATCAAACTTGGGTCCTTGTGCTTGCGAGGCAGGCAGCAGAACCACTGAGCTAAATCCCCGGCTTATGGTTAAACACGTTTTAGCCCATCCCCCCATGGGGCTAAGAACTATCTGTGTATAGCAGCCGACAGCCACAAGAGTGGCTGGACAGAGTGGCTGGGTGACTGCGCAAATACAGCAGCACCTAAGGATAAAGGCACATTCAGCTCTTCCTTGGGCTGCCTGAATCTCAAAGGAACCTTCTTACTCTAAAGTGATACCCTACTTTTATTTGTCAAAGAAACTATGTCATTTATCAGGCCGAATTTCTCACACTAGACTTGGATGAGAGTATCTTTTGTGTTTTCACTTAACTTGTTCCTCTATTTCCTACATGTCTTGTGAACTAGCTAGATCTAGATTCTTGATTAGATTCATGTGCAAACTTCTGGCAAGAATAACTCATAGATGGGGCCTTGTACTATCCATTGCGACACCTCAGGAGGTGGGTAATGTCTGCATAGCCTGCTTTTAATGAGGCTCAGATTACTTGTAAATTCATGTCCTTTTCAGTCTAACCCACTCATCCTTTAAGAAGTGCTTCATCAACATTTTACCTAATGGCTTTAACAGCTACTGATGTTCATTTCCAAATCTATTACTTCATTGGAGATTGCAAAGTGTTAATGTTCTAACAGCCCTTTTGTATTCATTAGCTGGAACTGTTCTATAAGTTTTCCTCTATCAGGTTATTCTGAAATTCAATTAGTATTAAGTATTGCAGAATAAATGCTTATTTGTAAATTTTGAGAATAACAAATTGATCCTTATCCAAAATCAAATAAATGGTTTTTTGTTTTGTTTTGTTTTTTTTGGAGTGGGCAAATGTAATTACAAACTCATAGATTTTTATATTTTTTAATTTCCAAATACTACTTTCCACTCTCAAAGTAAAAATTTTTAGGTTTTTTGTTTGTTTTTGTACGAGGAATCAAACTCAGGACCTTGAGCTTGTTCTTACCAGGCAGGCGTGGCACCACTGAGCTCCATCCCTGACCCTTTTTCATTAAACACCATTATGATCTATTATTTCTTTTCACTTTAACTCAGGCTTCTTAAGTTTTTGAACCTTAATAATTGAATCCACCCTGCAATTCAAGTATATTGGTTAATATTCTATAGCAACCAACCTTAGTCTATCCTTAGAATGGTGAGATGTCAATGAGGAAGCAAGGGAGTCACTAGGTCTTCCATCACCAGGGAACACGATGGATTAGTTCTTCCTGGAACCAGTCAGAGGTAGCCTGCCCTTCTCTAGCCCCGCTTCCATATTGTCCAACATGAAATGATCCCCACCTGCCAAAGAACACTTCAGGTGTAGAAGACAGGTTATCTTCTATTATCATTTTTTTCTTCAAAACCTGCCCCAGCTCTACCTACCAGGCTCACCTATCACTTGGTCCTTTTTCTCCCAGATCACAGTGGGCGACCTGGGACCCAAACCTTTTTCCTCAACCAAGCCCTGGAATTTTGCATGAGTTACTCTGTTCCCTGTTAGTCATCTCTGCCAACAGAGCAAAAAGAAAATGAGATGTGGACTTTGTGCATTTCATTCCCTGGACCATAAATGGTCACAGGACGGCTAAGGTCAGCTCTATCCCTGGGCTTATTTTGTTGATCATTACACTTCCATTTTCACGAAGTTCATTTGTCTTTTTTTCTTCACTTAAAACTAAAACATCCTTGAGCCATGCATGGTGACATAGGCCTCTAATCCCAGAACTTGAGAGGCCTGACGATCACAAGTTTCAAGCCAGCATGGGCTACATAGTCAGACCGTCTCAAAAAAAGAAAACATAAAAATGGAAACAAAAATTAAAATTGTTAATCCAAAGGGAGACACAAAACCCTAAGGGAAATGAAATACAGTAGACCCTTGATATAGGAACTCAATTTGTTCCTGAGGACTGGTTGTAACTCAAGTTGGTCAACTAAAGGCTTGAGCCCCTCAACACAGCCTTCAAAATCTTTCTCCTGAATAATGGCAGGTCTCAGTGCCCTTAGAGACACTGGCCCGGGATGTCTCAACTAATGCCACACAGAAAAGGATGTTGTAATTGTTCCCTCCAAAACTCTGTAAGGGTTAAACAAGTATCTGAGACCAACTGGAAGCAAAAGTGGCCAGCATTTGGGTCTTTACTGAAGACTTTGGTCACAAGTTAAAACTGAAATTCCAGAGGACTTCCAAAAAGATGGCAGAGAGGTGATCAGCAGAAAAAGTTTCCCCGAGATTTGGTGTCCTAACACTGAAATAACAGCAGTATGAGAAGGAGGAACTGGGTCCCTGGAACCCAGGAAGGATCAAAAATGAGAATTGAAGTCCACGAGAGAGAGTAAAAAGAGAGATTTTAACAAAGAGGGAAATAGCAAGCAGTGCTTTCTCCCAGAGCTTGGGCTCATGGTGTGGAAAAAGCAGGTCCAACCTGCAGATGCACAGTGACTACTGGCAATCCCAGAGGCCTCCATGGAGAAATGTACCAGAGCATAGAGAAATGAAACAGAGCAGTGGACAAAGCAGACTGCAGTGGCTGGTGAGATATTCAGGTTTGGACGTCACCCAAGGGAGGGTGACTGGCCAGAAGCCATCTTGGAGAGGGTAAACAGCTTGGAAGTCAGAGCAGTTATGGGCTGACTTCCATCTAGAGGCTCCTGGTGTCTCAGTGAGGGGCAAAGTTCAAATTGGGAGGAGATCTGGGAGCCAAGAACAAGCTGGCAAGAAGCACATGTACTGCTGCATGCTCAAAAAATCAATTTCCAGACTCAGCCAGAAACCAGCCTGAACTTCAGTGGAACTACATGTGCTGGGTGGCTGGGACTGATCAATTCAGTGCTGGACTTTGTCTACCTACACTGTCTAAATGTAACAGCAGGCACACACATCTTGAACTGGGTTTTATTTTCTTTTTTTCCTCCTTTTTAGTTGTTCTGTATTGTGTTTTTCTTGATTATTTAAACACGGTCTCTAGTATTTTTGATGTTCTGTTCTTTCTTCCTTTCCCTCCTGACTTACCAGTTTCCTAAAGTTCATGTGATCTTTGTCCTCCAGCCTTCCTTCTAATCTCCTCTTCTTCTATTTCTCTATTTCCACCTCAATCCCTTTTAAAGCTTCTCCCCTAAGGGTAAAATTGCCATATTAAGGGCTTATTTATTCCATAAAATTGTCTGTTTTGTTTTAGATTATATTATATAACCACAAATATAGATCATACAGTTAAAGGTGGCAAATTAATAGTTACCAAAATTTGTCATTTTCTAGGCTGTGTTTGAGGATACTGTTATCGCTCGCTGACTGTACTGTTTTAGCCAAGGTGATATACTAGCGCTAAGCAGTTGGGGTTTTTTTTGTTTGTTTTTGGTTTTTTGAGACAGGGTCTCACTATGTAGTTGAGACTGACCTGGAACTCACTATGTAGCCAGGCTGGTCTCTAACTCACAGCGATCCTCCTGCCTCAGCCTCCCGAGTGCTGGGATTACAGGCGTGTGCCACCACAACTGGCTGTTCTTTCTAATATACAAGTCTGAGCTTGCCTAGGGGTCTTTAAAAAAAACAAACTGCAGGACCGTGTCAAGGAACCAGGAGCTAGGTCAAGTAGGCAGAGACTTCTCACCACTAATGAATTGAAGAGGTAGGACCTTGCAAGAGACTCAAAACCCAAAGGCCAGCTACACCTGGAAGACACCTCTGAGAAGTAGACATTTCCTAAGGATTTTGAATACTGGCAATAAAGCTACTTGCCATAAGCAATTTAAAAGCATCAACCCTTAAACTTAAAAGAAAAAGAGATGACACTTAGACAAGATGCAAGCCCCCAGACTTTCAGCTTACCAAAGGCAAACCAGGAGGGCAATGAGATGAAACAATCTGAAAGCTACTCACTTGGACTCTAAAATGTTAACAATTAGGGGCTGGGGATTTGGCTCAGTGGTTCCAGCACCTGCTTCACAAGTACAAGGACCCGAGTTCGATCCCTGGTACCAAAAAATTTTTTTTAAATTAAAAAAAAAAATGTTAACAATGGAAATAACACAATCACAATGTCCTCCTGTCTAAGCAGCCAAAATTAGATTATTTATCCATTACCAAAGCAAAACAAGCAGAGAGGATTATCACACACAGTGAGTTATTCAGAGCAGACACGCCTCCAAACCTGGCATGGGCCACGCTCCCTTGAGTCACACCAGGGACAGACACAACTACTTATGGTGGTTGTGCAGGCTGCACATTGCATGCACAATGCTCATTCACACAGGGCTGTCAGCTCTAAGGACATTATGACAAATGCCCAGCAGATGGCGGTGAAGTGCTGGGGGAAAGGCACCTGCAAATTCCAACAGACAAGGTATAGTCAAGCCTGCCCCACCTGCGGGTTCTACATCCACAATTCAGCCATCCATAAATCAAAAATATCCTAATCCAAACATGTATCTTTATTTCCTAAACAACAGAATATAACAATTATTTACAGAGTTTATACTACATTAGGAACAAGTAGTCTAGAGACAATCTATAGAGTGTAGGGGACAGTGGTGGTGCACACCTGTAGTCCCAGCACTCGGGAGGCTGAGGCAGGAGGATCGCTGTGAGTTTGAGACCAGCCTGGGCTACACAGTGAGTTCAAGGCCAGCCTGAACTATAGAATCCTGTCTCAAAAATAAATAATGTGTACAGGATAGGCTGGGGACACAGTTCAGTGATACAGTGCCTGCCTAGCAGGGATGAGGCCCAGGATTCGATACCTGGCACTACAAAAAGTTTTTTTTTTAAACTTTATGGGCTAGGATTGGTGGTACATGCCTATGACTGCAGTACTTGGGAGGGTGAGGCACAGGAGAATCACAAGTTCAAGGCCAACATGGGCTACCTACTTATTTGAGTTTTAAGTACAGCCTGAATTACATAGGGAGACTCTCTCAAAAAACAAAAGTGTATCAGAGGATTTGCTTGCAAATACTACTTTACATACAGGAATTAAGCGTCTGTGGATTTGGCTATTGGGGGATGAGACTGAGAATCTTTCCATGGATATCAAGGAAAGCGGTTACTCTAGATATACAACAAAATCAATATTCTCTTGGAAGGCAGTGGAGGTAGAAAATGAGTGCTTGGTAGGTACCAAGAGTTCTGCAGGAGAGAGTAAACAACCTAACTTACAGTAGACCTTTAAAAAATTACTTGTGGGGGGCCAGGGATGCAGCTCAGTGGCACTGTGCCTGCCTGGCAAGCACATGATCCTGAGTTCAATCCCTAGTACTGAGAAAAAATGAAAAATAAAAATTAGTGTGGTAAATTCCATTTAAAGAAATAAATCCACTCCCATTTTAAGAAAAATTTTGAAGATCTTTATTGAATTCCAATGTAGTTAGTCTGAAAATAAACACTAGGTAAACATATCCTTAACTGAAAATCATCATGTATATAACCCACTACCATTATCAAAAAGTTAACTTTTTTTTTGGTGCCAGGGACCAAACTCAGGATCTTGCACTTGTGATGCAGGCACGGCACCATTGAGCTAAATCTCCAGCTAAGAAGTTTAAAATAAATTTATTTTAAAGATTTAAAATTTTTATAGCCATGTATGATGGTGCATGCCTGTAATCCTAGGCCTGGGGAGGCTGAGGCAGGAGGATCGTTGAAAGGTTAGGGCCAGCCTGGGCTACATAGTGAGTTCAAGACCAGCCTGAACCACATAGCAAGACCCTATCTCAAAAAAAAAAAAAGAGAGAGAGAGAAAGAAAAAAGATTTGTTTTTACAAAAGCAACAGCTTACATATCAAAGATTCTACTTCCTCTGAATTAAATGATTAAGGTTTATAAGAAGTTACTGTGCTATGGGTATGTAGGTTTGGCTCAGTAGTACAGCACTTGTCTAGGATCCACAAGAGGGAAAGAAAAAGAAAGGTGGGAGGGAAGAAAAAAGTGAAAAAGGAAGAGAGAAAGCATAAATTGAGAAAAAAATTAGATAAATAAAATATTATCACTAAAGATTAATCACATAAACTGGGCCTGGTGGCACATGCAGGTAATTCTAGCACTCTGGGAGGCTGAGGCAGAAAGACTGAAAGCTCAAGTCCAACCCCGGCAACTTAATGACTTAGTGAGACTCTGTATCAAAAAAAGAAAAAAAAAAGGTGGCTGGGGGTGTAGCTCAGTATGAAGGCCACAAGTTCAATCCCCAATATGAAACACACACACACACACACACACACACACACACACACTCATAGGCATAATTTTTTAAAATCTAGCACTTAAGCAAGAGTTCCTGTTACTTTGGTCAACTCTGTGTCCACAGAAAGGGGAAGTACAGTCAAGACTAAATAAGTAAATGAAGGATAAAGACAGAAGTTACTATGGCAAGAAAAACAGTTTTTGGAGATGGGTCTCTCTGTGATGCCTACTGACCTGGAGATCCCTCTCCCTCAGACTTCTAAGGAGCTGGGTAAACCGCTACACCTGGCTCAAGAAAAAATTTTTAAAGTGAAACTGGATAATCAACTCTTTTGTTCCTATAATTTCTACCACCTTCTCCTACTACCAAAGCCAAGCAGAACAGATGGTTCTATGATCACTGGTTTGCTACCAACACAGGGGTCTGGGTCAGGTCCCAGCTGGGTCAGTAGTATATGCAGCGTGTGCGATGGAACGGAATCCCCTTCATGTCGTCCCTGTGGTCCCGGGCATAGTCCCATAGGTAATAATCCAGAAGGACGGAGTTGATCTCACCATGGGGCTTTTCACTCTGTTTTTCAATAAGCTCCAGAAGACAATCCCGGATCAGCTCAACACACCAAAGTGAGCACCCTCTGATCTCCACCTCTTGCTTATCCCCATATGATAGCATTTCTCCTGTAAGAGTTAAAAATGGAGGAAAAATAGTTCCTCAATTTAAGCATAAATGTGAAATTCCTACTACATTTCACAAGAATGGGTCAAATCTATTGTCTCAATCTTCTCAGGACCCAGGCTAACATCCCAAATAAATATCTGTTAAATAGAGATGTAGTAACTCCAAATTTTAAAATGATAGGAAAAACAAAAATAAATATGACAGCAAATTAAACTGTTAAGAAGGATTGAAAATTGTGTTTGAGCCAGGCGTGGTGTTACATGCCTGTAGCCCCAGATCTAAGGAGACTGAGGCAGAATTGTGAATTTGAGACCAACCTGAGCTACATTGCTAGGCCCTGTCTCAAAATACCGTGTTTCCGTATTTCCCTACTTTTACGAGTAGTCAGTCTGATTTTTTCCCCCAGTACCTAGGATTGAATTCAGGACCTCATGCTTGTGAGGCAGGCACAGAACTGTTGAGCTAAATCCCTGGCCCTTGATTTTTATGTGAAATCTAATTTTCAAGTGTTAGAAACTAATTAAAAACCAGTTTAAATTGGGTGTGGTGGCACATACCTGTAATCCCTGCATTCAGGAGGCTGAGGCAGTAGGGTTTGAACTGGATGCCAGGCTGGGCTACTTGGTGCATTCAAGTCTAGCCTGGGCTATACCGTGAGACCCTACCTTAAAAAAAATTGTTTTAACTAAACAAATCTAATGTTTCCTTGTACCCCTCCAAAAAAGCTTCAAGTCAGGAATAAGCAGTATATGGCTACATAGAAAATAATACCCTAAGTGATAAATGTTGTCCCTTTAAAAAGTATCCAAAAGTTAGGACGAGGGATTTAGCTCAGTGGCACTACGCCTGCCTCGCAAGTAGAAGGACCTGAGTTCAATTCCCAGTACAAAAAAAAAAAAAAAAAAAAATCCAAAAACTAACCACCTAGGACGTGAGCATTATGACATAAAACAGTGTATTATTTTTCAAATGCGGAAACAGGACAACATGGATTTCCTGAAGAAACTTAAAACTTGGTAAAATCAACCATAGAAATAATGGTACCTTTATATTCTGTATTATTCTGATTTGGAAAGATATAAATCCATTTTATAAGAGAAAATTATTCAAGAGTAAAACCACTTTCATTTAAAAATTTTTTAAAAGCCACACAAAAGAGAAATTAGCATGGAAATAGCCTATCTTTCTCATACAAAAGAAATGTTTTTTTGTTTTGTGCTGGGGCTGGTGGTACACTCCTACAATCCCAGCACTCTGGATGCTGAGGCAGGAGGATTGCCACAAGTTTAAGGCCAGCTGGAACTACACAGTGAGTTCAAGCTACACGGCAAGGCCCTATCTCAAAAATCAAAACAGAAGAGTTTTATTTAAAAAAGGTAATTTCAGACTGGGGATTTAGCTCAGTGGTTCCACCACCTGCCTCACAAGTGCAAGGACCCGAGTACCAAAAAAAAAGTAATTTTCACAGAAACTTCTCAACCTAATTTACCTATTTTTACACATAAGTTCCCAGTCTTGAATCAATAATCATTCCATTAACGGTGAATAATAAGTTAGGTAAGGGAGCAACTTGTGTGAGATAACCCAGTGGTCCCGAGAAGTGGACTCAAAAGTCAATCTATATGATCTCTTTCTTAGCCCACCCTTTAGTCCAAAAGTTTTCCCCAGCTTCTTGAACATTCTATGTATTACACCTGGATCACAAACCTTCACATAGCATAAATTTAGGGTTCATTTTATAAGGCTCTATTAACAATATCCATACCCCACACAGTAGTAAGAAAAGCCACTTCCCCCTAGGCAGTTATGCATGCTTGTAACTGCTGCTACTGTGGAGGCTGAGACAGGAGAATCAGGAACTCCAGCCAGCCTCAGTACATAATGAGTTCAAGACCAGCTTGGACTATATAGCAAGATTCTGTCTCAAAATAAAATAGGGCTGGGGTATAGCTCAGTGGTAGAGCCCTTGCCTACCATGCATGAAGCCCTGGGTTCAAGCCCCAGAACTGAAGAAAAAAAAAAAGGTAATTTGCTCTATATTTTACTCGCCCTTGTGTTTTTGTTTTGTTTTGTTTCTTATTTTGATTTTTTTGAGACAGGGACTATGTATGTATCCGGGCTGGCCTTGAACTGGAGATCCTCCTGCCTCAGTTTTGTGTGCTGGGATTGCAGGCCTGTGCCACCCCACCTGGCTTGAATTGTTCTTCTCTTTTCTTTTTTGGTACCGGGGATCAAATTTAGGACCTAGTGCTTTCAAGGCAGGCTGCAGTAACACTGAGCTAAATCTCCAGCCCTGGCTTGCTTTGTTTTTTACGTACACTTTTACCAATAGTGCCCCCGACCTTTTTAAGCAAGAGCTTTCTGTGAAAGAAGCTAAATGCAGAGTCACAATTCACTGAATAACAGAATGTCCCCATGGTGGCTGCATACCTCGGTGGAGCTTCTGCAGCAGTTCATCAGAGTACTTGAGGGCTCCCAGGTGGGCAAGGACCTGCGGCAGGCGGTAGTCAGCAAACATGGTAATGCTGGAGATATCTGCAAAACATCCGTCCCCTCTGCCCTCTAACACACTCCAGGTGTCCGCCACAAGGATCTGGGCTCGTTTGTAAAAAGAAACTCTTTTCCCCTGATGAATGGAGAAAGCAAAATGTCCGGGTGTCTGAAGCTTGCTGTAATGCTTTTTAAAAGGCATATGTTGAAGACATTTTTTCAAGGGCAGAATAATGTTCCTCTGTTAGGAAGTATAGACCTTTTACAGTAAACACAAGGACCTGACTAACATTTAATAATCTCTATCATTCCCATTTTATTTCCTGTTTTATTCAATCACATAAAACATAAATTACAAAATCCCATTATCATGCAATAGTTTTTCATTTTTTTTTTCATGGTACTGGGGAGTACTCAGGACCTTGCGCTTACGAAGCAGGCAGAAGAACCACTGAGCTAAATCCTTGGCCCATGCAATAGTTTTTCAATGGTGTTACTTCATGTAACTTCAGGGTACAACCTGGGTGACTCAATGAGAACTCTGTCTAAAAAACAAAAAGCACTGGGGAAACAGCTCAGTGGTAGAGCACTGCTAGGTTCAACTTCTAGTACCTCGGGAAAAAAAGTATAACTAGTGCAGGTGATCCACACCTGTTCCTACTAAACCAAAATCTTTTAAAGACATCATTAATAAATTCAGAATGTTTTTCAAGGCAAACCATATGCTCAATTTTTCAACATGATATAAAGTTTGTAAATTATACTGATGAGTTAGAGGGGAAAAAATTGGAAATATTCCTACATTGTGCTACAACCCTAAATTCCTAAACCTAACCACAACTGTTTCTTTAAACTAGGTTTATACAGTATGTGATAACTAGGTTTCTAGCCAGACACAAAACTAAAGTTGTAAAATATAACTGTTACAGTTATATCAGAAAGCTTATTATACTAAAGTCTATGATCCATTTTTACATCATTCAGAGCAAAACAGAGACTAAAAATCAAACTTCCAGGGCCAGGGATTTGGCTCAGTAGTTCCACTGCCTGCCACGCAAGCGCAAAGACCAGAGTTCAATCCCTGGTACCCGCCCCCCTCAAAAAAACCAAACTTCCATAACAAAACCTATCTTACGCTAGCAGCATCTAAAAAAAAGTATCAGTTGTCCCATCACAACCACTGTTGCCATGGCAGCAGACTAATGTATCATAAAGATTAGGTTATAATTCACTTAAAATGAAAATAGAAAGATCAAATGAGGAATTTTGGTTTTTGGGTTTTTTTTGTTTGTTTGTGTTTTGGTTTTTTGAGACAGGGTCTTACTATGCAGTTGAGACTGACCTGGAACTCATTATGTAGCCCAGGCTGGTCTTGAACTCACAGTGATCCTCCTGCCTCAGCCTCCTGAGTACTGGGATTACAGGCGTGCACCACCACACCTGGCTTCAAATGAGGAATTTAAAAATTCAATCTGTAAAACATCTTCTTTGTAAGCTAACTGTGGTTCTGGTAATCAAATGATCTTAGTCAAATTCTGGGGGCTGAGGATTTAGCTCAGTGGTGCTGCTACCTGCCTCCTGCCACGCAAGCACAATCCTGTGTTCAATCCCCAGTACCAAAAAAAAAAAAAAAAAACAAATTCTGGGTCTCAACCCTGGGTTACCTTGTATTATTTATTACAAATAATAAAAAATAAATAAGAAAAAAATTCTGAATCTCTAAAATATAAACTGCTGAAAAGACCAGTAAGTCACCAAATAACAATTTCCTATATATTCACTAATATTGCTTTGTGAAGAAAGTATTTTCAAAATAATACCTTCATAAAATTGTCAATGAAGGGCCAGGGATTTAGCTTAGTGGTGCCGTACTTGCCTCACAAGGTTGAGTTCAATCCACACTGGGGAGTGGGATGTGGGGGTAGTGTTAATGAAAAATTCTATGACTATGGGTTAATTTACCCTCTACCCCAATATTGGGGATTGAACCCCAGCCCCAGCCCGCCCCCCAAGACAGGGTCTCACTAAGTCTCTAAATTGTCCAAGGTGATCTTGACTTGTAATTCTCCTGCCTCCGTTTCCCAGAGTAGTGAGATTACAGGCATGTGCCACCACCATGCCTGACTAATTTGCTTTAAAAAATTTTTTTTCTTTTCTTTTTTTTTGTACTGGCAATCGAACTCGGGACCTTGCACTTGTGAGGTGAGCGTGGTGCCACTGAGCTAAATCCCTGGCCTCTTTTGGCTTTTTTGTTTGTTTGTTTGTTTTTTGTTTTTTGACACTGACCTGGAACTATGTAGCCCAGGCTGGTCTCACTCACAGCGATCCCCCTGCTCAACCTCTCCAGTGCTGGGATTACAGGCGTGCGCCACCACGCAGGGCTTCTTTTGGCTTTTTGAGACAGGATCTCACTATGCAGTTCAGGCAGGCCTTGAGCTCACAATGTAGTCTAGGCTGGCCTTGAACTCACAGCAACCCTCCTGCTTCTGCCTCCTGAGTACTGAGATTACAGCGGGCCAGGCAGGCGCCACCACAACAGGCTCTATTCGTCTTTAAAATTTGTAACTGATACAGCTAAAACATAAAAAATTAGACAAATTAGTGCTATTTGATACATGTATACACTGTACAATGTTTAAATTAGGTTAAATAAATTTTCCCACTTATAATTTATGGTAAAAATTTTCAAAACTCTTTTTTGTAGCTTCTTGAAAGCTACAATACACTACTGTTCTCTATAGTCACCATATTCAGCTTCTTGCTAACTATAGCTTAGTAACTATCAGTCTTTCCCCATCTCTTCCCATGAACTAATTTTCTTGAACAAAATTTTCAATAAATTTAAGGTAAAGGAATATGAACAGTATTTGACAGTATAAAATATTACCTGCCGAAATATCAAAAAGCTCTTGTTTTTCATGTACTTTTTTTGTTTTTCTCCCCAGTACTGGGGATCAAATTCAGGACCTCGTGCTTGCTAGGCAGGCCCAGCACCACTGAGCTAAATCCCCAGCCCTTTATGTAGTTTTTTTTTTTTTAAATGATAGCCCAAATTAAAAAAAAAAAAAAAGATGATGGTCCAAGTCCAAGTAGATTACTTAGGATTTTTACAGTTACTACATACTCTAATAAATCAGTTGCTTGAAAAGCTTAAATAGCTCTCTCACCTATTGATCAAAATCTGCATGCCTATAATCCCACCACTCTGGGAGGCTGAGGCAAAATTATAAATTCAAGCCCTACCTTGGGAACTCAGCAATTTAGCAAGATCCTGTGTCAAAAAGGACTGGGAATACTGCTTGGTGGTAGAGTGTTTGCCTAGCATGTAGCAGGCTCTGGGTTCAATCCCCAGGACTACATTTTTTTTAAAAAGCAATCAGTGTTATGAAGGGTTGTGGCTTTCTTATCATCTTTCCAGAGAACAGATAGCTTTTTTAAAAAAAATTTATTTTATCCCATCCCCCCCCACAAATAAAATAAGCTTTGTATTCTTTTGTTTTGGTGGTCAGTTTTGTTTTGTATTTTTTTGGTACCGGGGATTGAACTCGGGTCCTTGGGCTTGCAAGGCAGGCGGCAGAACCACTGAGCTAAATCCCCAGCCCTTTTGTTTTGGTACTGGGGATTGATCAGATTAATTTTATGTACTAGAAGCCTGAAAATCTTGACCATGCTGTGACTCAGCAACTCCACCGCAGGAATCTATAATTACAGATGTGTGCAAGGATGAAAGTGTTGTACAATACTGTTTATGACCTATACTGTTTATTAAATTGAAAATAGGAAGACATAAAACTCAATTTACAAAATAGACTGTGTATAAACACAATTATATATCAGCCTTAAAAATTAACTCATCCTGGTAAATTAAATAGTAACTCTCAGGAAAAAAATCACTTTTCATGCACAAGAGCTCCAAAAAGAAAACAAACTACATGATATTCTGAATACATTCCATCCTAATGCTACATTATTTACTCTTAATTTTTCATTGAGAGTTCCTTAATTCGGGAGGGTTTATAAACCTGAAGCAGAGAACAAACCAGAGAAAAGATCCATTTGCTCATCTGCCGCTCTTCACTGATGCTGCTGCTTTCTCTTCTCCCTCCTCTCGCCATCATACTCACTGTAATTTCAGTCCTTCCTGTGCTACCATCCTTTGCAAATTAGTAAATACCGAAATCAATTATGTATCCTGAGCCACACGAGTGGCACTTTGCTCTCTTTCGTATACTGTTCATTACAGTTAGACGGCCTAAATGATAGACCGAGAAACTCGATCCCGAATTTCCTGAAAAACAAGTCTGAAATGACATACCTGAACACAAAGATAAATCTCAGTACTCTTGAGTAGTTGCATTAGCAAGTAAAACAGAATGAAAGTCAACAGTATCCTGGAGACTGATCCAGAAACTACCTCTCCACCCCATCCACACCTCAGGGCAACACGTCATAACTCATGCAGCTCACAGGTTGCAACTTGCCTCCCTCTCTCCCCAGTGGCTGAAGCAACAAGATGCAAAATTCAGACAGCAACATTGCTACTATGTGGAGAGACTCTGTCCAGCAAAGGCAAGAGGCCGAACCCAACAGCACTGGAGTCCTTCATCCAAGCTGTCCCTGTCCCATCTAAAACTTCTGCTAGACTTGAGGCAAAGTTTTGGACAAGGGATTTAGCTCAGTGGTTCCACTACCTGCCTTGCAAGCACAAGGTCTGGAATTTGATCCCCAGTACCAAAAAAAAAAAAAGGAAAGTTTTGGGCTATTATGTTTGTTTCTTCTAAGACAGAATCTTTTTCACCTATGTCTTGTACTTGGAGTAACTTTTTTGGCGGGGGTGGGGTGGGGTGGGGTTGAGGCAGGGTCTCACTATGTAGTGAGACTGACCTGGAACTCACTATGTAGCTCAGGCTGGTCTTGAACTCACAGCGATCCTCCTGCCTCAGCCTCCAAGTGCTGGGATTACAGGCATGCGCCACCACGCCCAGCTGGAGTAACTATTTTGAAGGTAATGATAGTGTGTGTCTTAAGCACTGTTTTATCACTGTATTTTATCATAAAATTTTTTCATATAATAAACTTTTGCTTCAGCTTTTTCTAGTTTTGTCTGTGTACTTGCAGTTAAAAAAAAAAAGTCTTAATAGGGCACAGTGGTGCACACCCGTACTCACAGCTACTTGGGAGGCTAAGGCAGAAAGATCAAAAGTTTGAGGCCACTCTGGGCAACATTGGGAGTCTGTATCTCAAAATAAAATTAAAAAGGTCTGGTATGTTCCTTAGTATAAGTACATATCACGCATGATTTAAACAATGTAAGCTGGGGATTTGGCTCAGTGGTTCTGCTGCCTGCCTCACAAGCACAAAGTCCTGAGTTCGATCCCCTGGTACCAAAAATATACATATACTGGTAGTTTTAGTTGCTGAACTGATTACAAATGGAATACCTTTAAAATTTTAATTTGATGTAAACATTCATTAATTTATACAGCTTTATATTATGATTTCCTAAAGTTGCTTATAGTTCTGAGTCACAGCTAAAGTACCCAGGATTCCAAAAAAATTTTACAAAAACAAAATAGAGGTGCAGATTGGGAAGGTAAATCAAACCATTTGCCATTCTAAAAGTGAATGCATTTAAGTTTTTTGTACCATAGAATGAGTAATATTGTGAAAGTATGCTATGTATGAAAAACACTAAAGACTGAACTTTACCACAAATACTTTTTATTAGAGAGAATTTAGCATACATCCTGATTTTTATGCAATCATGTGAATTTTTTGAAGTACCTTACCCTCAAGAATAGCATTATATAGAGAATACAGTTTTTCAGGTTTGAAACATTTTGAAATGACAAGAAGCCAGATGTGGTGACATGTGCCTGTAATCCCAGCACTAAAGAGGCCGAGGCAAGAAGACTGCTGTAAATTCAAGGCCAGCCTAAACTATATGCAACTACCTTGTCACAAAAACAACAAAAAGGAAAACACACACACACACACAAACACACACAAAGTAGCCAGGCAGGATGGCACATACCTATTTATCTCAGCACTCTGGGAGGCTGAGACAAGAGAATCAAAAATTCAATCCCAATGTGGGCAACTTGGTGACTTAGTAAGTCACTGCCTCAAAATAAAAAATCAAAATAGCTAGGAAAAGCCCTGGGTTCAATCTCTAATAACTCAAAAGACAAAACAAACAAAAAAGGTAAAAGGACAAAGAAAATACACTGACCAGGAAACATACATATAAAAAAGCTTTTGTTGTTTTTTTGGTACCGGGGATTGAACTCGGGTCTTTGCACTTGCAAGGCAGGCAGCGGAACCACCGCTGAGCTAAATCCCTGGCCCAAAAAGTTTTGAAACATTTAATTTGGTTACTGTTTCTTGTCTATAGTGAAAAAACTTCAAATGATTTTCTTCTCAAACGCATTTCAGGAAGTGTTATGGCTTATATTCCATGGCCTCATAGGTGGGGCTTTGGGAAATGATTGGATCGTGGGTGTGTGATACTGGATTAGTCCACTGAGGCGTTCACAGGGCAGTGTGAAGCCTGGTGGAAGGAGGTGGTCACTGTGGGGGTGTCCTGAATATACATTTAACCTCTTGCCTCAGGCGCACCCTACTTCCTGCCTGCCCTGCCATGGACTTTCTCCTCTGAGATGCCCCTCTGCCCTGCCTTGGAGCCAGCTAATTGTGGACTGTAACCTCTACAAACTGAGCTGAAATAAACCTCTCTTCTGTTAACTTGTAGGTGTTGGGTATCAGATATTCTGTCCCAGCAACAAGAAAGTAACTAAGACAGGAAGTAAAAGAGTTAACTGACAAAATTAAAACTCTATTATTTCTATACTTGAAATACAACAATAAATTTTTTAAAAAAGACTTTATTAAAATCTCCAACAGAAACCACTCACCTCAAACTCAGTCACATCTCTGTAAGAAGGAAAATTTTCAACAACCAGATGCATTAACTTCTGCGCGCTTTTTTCACTCTTTTGGACGCAGTTAAGGAAAGAGCCCCCAAACTTCTCCAACAGAATTCTCCCTGCCTCATTGAGAACACGATGTCTATCTTCCATCAAGGGCATGGGGACGTCGGTGTCAGAACGAAATATGTGACGAACCTGGTCCAGGGTCACGGTGGCATAGTAGGAGGCACTCGTTATGGGTATCCCTTGGAGAGAAAGAAAATTCGGGGGAGCAACGTCATTTTTGATGCCTCATTAGACCCCTCACTTTATCACGTGCACTTCCTATTAAACTAAGTTGAGTGCTGCAGAAATTGCATCCAGATGGGGCCGGGGGTTTAGCTCAGTGGTTCCACCACCTGCCTCGAAAGCTCAAGGTCCCGAGTTTGATTCCCGATACCAAAAAATGCATCCCCGAGTTTGATTCCCGATACCAAAAAAAAAAAAAAGCATCCAGATGGACCAGATGGATGAGTAAGGATCTAAAGCAAACCTCTTTTATTTATTTATTTATTTATTTATTTATTTGGTTTTTTGAGACGGGGGTCTCACTATGTAGTTGAGACTGACCTGGAACTCACTATGTAGCCCAGGCTGGTCTTGAACTCAGAGCGATCTTCCTGCCTCAGCCTCCTGAGCGCTGGGATTACAGGCGTGCGCCACCACGCCCGGCAAGACCTCATTTCTTACTTGCTCGCCTGCACGGACCCTTCTCTAACTACTGCAATACTACATCGCCTGTATTCTAACTGCGCACAAAGTTCCCGGCCTGTCCCCGCCGCATTAAAGGGGCGACCTTTAAAGCCTGACTGCGACAGAGGCCGGCAGGCCCCGCCCGCGGGACCCACCTTCGTCCAGAGCGCGGTTCACCGCGGCGCAAAGGGCCCAGTACCCGCTGTAGGCCTTGCCTCCGTAGCTCACCAGGCACTTGCGCTCCTCCTCATCCGCCCAGAAGGAGAAGTTGAGCGTGTCCACCACGAACACCCAGCCGAGCGCCGCCGCGTCGGCCGAGCGAGGGTTCAGCTCGTGCAGCGCCCGCCAGCCGCCCACGT